ATAAGATATCAAATAAAATTGTAAAATAAAATAAAAAATAAAATAAAATATCAAAAAATTGTAAAATAAAAATATCAAAAAATTAACATTGTTTAAAATAATTCATTTAATGTATTAGAGTTTTTACTTTCTTGTTTTGTTAGCAGTTTTTTAAAAGATAATTTGTATTGAAACAAGCACGTGAGAAAAATTGATTATTGCATGGATGAAGGTTTCCTTCTTCTACATCTTGTATATGTTTTGTTGGGGATACTATTTACATAATATCGCATAAAACGTTTTATGTCATTAATATATGGCATATTGCCCTTATATTTCTCTCTCCTGTTCGTGCATCAAGTCAATTGTTGCGACCCAGTTTGGCAGCGTCATCCTTTCACCAGTTTTAGGTGGGGAAGTGTTTCCATTCCACCTTCAATTTACCTACATTTCTCTCAATGAGAAGATCGCAAAACTTCGCATATGCGTTCTGTTAAGATTCACTTATCTCAATGATAGTAAATAATTATTGATTATTTACTCTATTTACAATATAATATATCTTCTTTTATAAAAAAAATCGTACAATAACAAATATAAAATATGTTTACATGTTCAAAGATCAATATTAGAGTATAATCAATGTTGAAGTATAATCTGGAGGCGAGAGGTCTATCATTATTTGGCAATGAAAAGCAAAGATATTTGCCAATATGAATTTTTCGCGCAGTTCAAGGATTTAGGCAATCAAACGACTTTCTATGGGAAAGGTTAGTACCACGCAATATTTGCTGGAGGTTTATAGCGTCTGATTTACGCAATGTCACTTAATGACAAAATTGTTTAGTTGATGAAAATTTCATGCAATGTCTCTGGAGAGATAATAAATGTATTAGAACATAAAAATTTTAGTTAACGCAATAAAAATAAATTTAGATTAATTAAGTTAAGTTGATAAATTTGTACTAAACGAATTATATGTAAGAAAAATTACATTGTTTTATTTAAAAAATTATCGACGATGTTGATTTCTCATTAAAAAATGCATGGCAATGTAACTGTTCTCTTAAATATTTTTTTGTAGATTCAACAAATAAAAAGTTATTTTAGTTAACAGTTTCTAGTAATTTATTTTGTGGACAAAGTTATAAAAAAGATTACATTATCAACATAAATGCATATAAATTAATAATTTGTTTTTAAATATTGGCAAAAAATAAATGAAAAATAACGCGTGCTATATGTTGTTGTGTTTTAGTTTATCAAAATTAAAAAAGTATATAATATGCAGTTATCGACTACTAATTTTTTACATCCAATGCTAAAAACAAGAAGGTGCAATTTAGAGAACTTGTCGCAACGTAGATTGTGCAATGTATACCTACATTTGCCGTTATCATGTACAATGTAATCACAGGTTACGTACCGGAACGAAGTTTCACCGTATTCGTTTTAGCTACTTTCTTGACTGTACTATCTGTATTTAAAATAAAACGAGTTTATATATAGATCTGCTTTAAGCAGAGAAAGATGAAAGTACAGAAAGTGTAATTGTAAAAAGGAATAGATCTCTCGTTAATGATCCTTATACTGGTCATTAAAAATATATAGAGGGAGTGTAATCTATGTAAGGTAGTCTGGACAAACTTAAAGAAGAGACGTTGAAGTGCGTTATATATACAGGGTGTCCCATTTTAAATGTCCCATGCAAATATCTTTATTCCATAAAAATATGGAAGATACGGAAAAATGTTCTAGACAAAAGTTGCATGTTTGAAGGGGGTTACATGATGAATATATAGACTTGATCTTGAGTGACCTTTTCAAGGCCAGGTCAATGTGATCGATGTTTTCTTAAATGGAACTTGTTTTTTCCTTGAGATAAAAGTTGTAGATCTCGTCGAGACGTTTTCAAAACACTATAATAAAGTTTTCTCTCGTTAAGAATTTCTTGAGATATTTAAAATTTTGTTATAATATTTTTAATATAAAATATGAAATATCTGGTGAAGTATTCACTTTTCTACAACTTTACCTTCATACTTTTATACGTAGAATAATGAAAGGAAGCAAATAATAATATTTTTACATTTGCAATTTTGCAATATTGAATGCGTCTACAAGATGCATTCAATTTTCAAATAATTTTTTCTGTTTTTTTTCTTACAATAATCGATTTCTTTCATTATTCCATGTATAAAAGTATCAAGGTAAAGTTATCAAAAAGTGAACACTATACGATTCGATATACTATACTATACGATATTTCATATTTTATATTAAAAATTAAAATGACAAAATTTTTGAAATATCTCAGAAAATTCTTAACAAAAGAAAGCTTTATCATAGTGTTTTGAAAACGTCTTGACAAATTCTACAAGAATATGCAATAAAGGGAAGTTCTATTTAAAAAAACATCGATCACATTGATTTGAAAAGGTCACTCAAGGTCAAGTCCATATTTTCATCATGAGGCCCCCTTCAAATCGTGTAACTTTTGCCTGAAACATTTTTTTGTATCTTCCATATTTTTTTAGATATTTGCCTTGGGCATTTAAAATAAGATACCCTGTATATACAATCATCAATATGCGAAATTCTTTGCTACGCTATTTTTTCTAATATTGTTAATGTTTTTATGCAGATAACATGTAGACGATATGTATTTTGTAAAGAGTATATTTTATTTAAAAGGGTAACTGCGACGTCCTCGTTAAACTATTAGTTTCACTCGCCACACCTCCTCTTATTAAAAATCTTACGTTCCCGCAATCTTGCACTCTCTCCAGTTATTTTCTTGTCCCCATAGTCCTGACGGATCGCTTCGCGCTTGTACTAGTCAAGACTTCATGATCTGACGTTTCCACAGTGCACTCGGTAATTCGGGCGCACTAGAAGCCACAGTCAACATTTGCCGGTCACCTAGTGTACATTGTGAAGCATAGGACACACTTGATTTATTTTGAAGACAGTGCGAGAAAGTTATAGTTGAAACGAATATGGTGAAACTTTGACATAGAACTTCTATTTTTTGTATTCTCTGTACTTTTTGTATAAAACTATTATAACTGTGATTTCCGCAAAGCTGTGCGAATTACTGAGGGACCGAATATCGAATGCTTACACATTCCATCAAACAAAAGGTAATCAGTTGCGAGATTGTTAGATTAAATATATTTTAAAAAGAATTTCAAATATATATGTATATTTTTTTTAAAGTTTGTTTAAAAAGTACATTAAAAATTTTTTTTAATTATATGTGTACATATAAACAAAAAAGAAAATAAATATTTAGATTTAAAATATATTCAAAGTATATACTTAAAGAATATAATATGTAAAAGAACAATATTTGCTATTTAATTACTACTAGTACTATTTAGGCACATTTTTTATTCATGCATTATGGAGGGTTAATTGCAAAAAGTTTGAGATATACATTAAATATATTAGTAGCATTCTGTCATAAAAAAGAAGAGAGTTTGAAGCAGAATAAAATAGAAACTACATCAAGGAACATAGTATATTATAATATATAACACGAACTACAGTGTATTTTATAATAATTTACACAATTTTTTATTTAATTTACAAATAAGAATTTAGTGTTTTGTGTTCTCAAAGAAGATTTGGATGAAAGGTACAACTTTCCATCGTGCTAGCTGGCTTTCACCAGTCAGCAGTCATCGTTGAATTTATCTAAAATGCTATGACTTGATGATCCTGAATACATTTTCATAAATTACTACATGTAACTTGGCATAGAGAGATACGTGAAAATTTAAATAAAACAGATCATAAATTCGAATTTTCGAAATAATGCAGATATAAACATTTAAATTTTATTATTGTTTAAAGTCTTTAACTCGTTATTCGAATATTAAGGATCACTACAGAAGAAAAATACTGTTAACAATAATAAACGAATATTATTAAAGATATAAAATTCACTTTAGATCTTATAGTTTATGTCAAATTTCGGGATGGAATTCTATCTATAAAATTTTATACAACGTGGTTTTTTTATATATACGTATTTTGATGTGTTTTACGTATTATTATGTACAGGGTGTTCGAAATAAAAATATCCAGCCAATGTAGTAGATTGGGTCAAACTGAAGAGAAAAGTCATGTACTATTTTGCAAATTCGCAAATATTTGAAAATGGGACGTCTCTTCTCGGCGCGCGCTTCTACTAGAGTAAATTGGCCGATCTTTTTCAAATTATTTCTCAGTAAGTATTGCGAATTTTGCAAAATGGTACATGATTTTTCTCTTCAGTTTGACCCAATCTACTCCATCTTTTCGGCTGGATACTTTTATTTTGAACACCCTGTATATAATTTTTCAAATATTTTTTGTCTCACATTGTATATAAAATTATGAATATAATTCTGTTACAAAGTCTTACTTTAAATTATGAATCTGAAGATTTTAATGTCGATCGTTGCCATAACAGGTTGCCGATTAATAATATTCTCCTAGCTATACTAATGCTCAACTTGATGAGGTTATGGGGTTTTGAGGGTTATAAGATCAAGGGGTCATGGAGTTAATAGTTTATGAGGGTTTTAGGGCCAAACAGCTTATTTAAAGCGATTATTGAGATGAGACAAGTCGTATAAATCATATTGTAAGATCACTTCATCAGGTTTATGGGTTATTTTGCTTATGGGGTCATGGGGTTATGGAGTTTTTTAAAAAAGCCACTCAAATTTCGAAAGCCCTCGCTTATACGAACATTTTAAGCCCAAACTCAATATTTAAAGTCGCTTCAATTTTTGGACAGAGGGAAGGGGCCACTTGACGTGGAATGTCACATATGTGTATATATATATATGTATGTATAACCTTTTTTTATATATTTAACAATTATAATAAACTCAATTTTGTATTATTAATTAATCATATAAGTCTATAATCATATATAATTTTGACAAAATAAACTTATTATACAATACACATTGATGATAATAATAATCGATAATTTACAATGTTTTTCGGCAATACTAGATCATAAAATGATGAATCTGAAGGAAGGCATGCATGTGATTTACGATTTATTGCTATTTATCGGCATGGCAATAGTTTATTTCACCAAGACTGTAGTGCTAACGCTAATTCCACGCCGATATCGAGCAAAATCGATCAAGGGTGAAATTGCTCTCGTTACGGGCGGTGCTAGCGGAATCGGCAAGTTAATTGCAATCAGATTTGCCAAACTCGGTGCACACGTAGTCGTTTGGGACATCAATAAAAACGGTGAGAGATAATTCCAACTAAATAATTATTTTTTTCTTTAAATAAAATCTTACACACATACACATATGTATATGTATATATACCTAGATGTCTGAATCATCCGAATGCTAACTACATCTAAAAAACAAAAAAAATTAATGTTTAGTTTTCACGCGTAAAATGTACATATACGAATATGATAGCTACCATGTCTGAAACAAATTATGCATGATAAACCATTATTAATTCTGTCAATTTTGTCTTGTTATTCTTTTGCTACCTGACTCTTCTGAACTAGTAGATATTATTGTCACAGTTACACAGTCGCATAATGCAAGTTTAATAATTTTTCTTGTATAAATGTGTATAAATGTATATACAAACATGTAGACAATATGTATATATTTACAGTATATTTAAACACATTTGATTCAATTCCTTTCTAATAAATTTTAAGAGATAAGTATGTATATAAGCATAAATAAATTCGTAAATGGTAAACGCAGGTCTTGCGGAAGTTGCAGAGGAGATTAGAAAAATTGGTGGAAAATGTTGGACGTATTATTGCGATATAGCTGACAAAGAAGAAGTGTATCATACAGCAAAAGTGGTACAGATTGAAGTCGGAAATGTGAGTAAAATGTTGTTAAACTTAAGAATTCTGTACCACAAAATTTAAGAATATCTTTCAGTCAAGATACGTAAAGATATCTTGCGTATCAGCGCTCCAACATTCTCTTTTTTTTAAATTAACAGCAAATTGTTATATATACTAGAACTTCATGAACAATCGAAATAAACTATAATTTTGCTTTACCTATTCATATTTCTCCCTCTCTCCTTCCCCCCCCTCTCTTTCTCTTTCTGACACACATTATTATACATATAGGTATGCACCGTTATAGAGTAAATATAATGTAAATGTGTTATTGCATTCGCGTAAAATAATAAATTGTGTGGAATCGAAATAGTTAGAGATTTGAAAAATAGATACTGAAATTTTGGTCTAATCTTTTTGAAGACTTATAATATCCGTGACGACGAGCTGTTAATTTAAAGAAAAAAAGAAGGAGCGCTGGTGCGCAAGATATCTTTACGTATCTTGCCTGAAAGATATTCTTAAATTTTCTGATCGTGCCCGGTAAAAAATTTTTTATATAAAAACATATCTAAATATATATAATCATATAATATTATATAAAATATTATATAAAATATGTTCATATATGCTTTTTTTCTTGTATAATCTCTGTTCGTACGTTACAAGAAAAATAATAAGAAAAAGAATTGAAAAATAATTAAAAGGATAATTTTTGCATTGTTTTTTTATTGTTTGTGCATTGTTCATTTATAATCATTTATAATCATAAATATATAAATGTAACAATACCACAGTAACAATACATATCTTCTATATATATAAAATAGAATGTCTGTATGTATGCATGTATGTTCTTTATACACTCTTAAACTATTCGACCGAATTTTTACCAAAAGTATATAAAATAAGGGTAGAATTTTCCGGGGAGTGTTATAGAGTGCATAGTTTTTTGTTACCGGTCTTTTTGGGAACCGGTATCCGAAATTTTTCCAATTTTTCGGGAAATAATTGACCGAATTTTAAAGAATTGTATATGAATCAGGGGTAGAATTTCTCGGGGAGTACCATAAAGTGTATAATTTTTTGTTATCGATCTTTTGGGAAACCGATATCAGAAATTTTTCCAATTTTTTGGAAAATAATTGACCGATGAAAGTATAAAATAGGGGTAGAATTTTTTGGGGAGTGTTATAGAGTGTATAGTTTTTCGTTACCGATTTTTTTGGGAACCGATATCCGAAATTTTTTCAATTTTTTGGTAAATAATTGACCGAATGTTTTGTAGGAAATGTTTTGATTCTGATGTAATTCCTGACATAAACATAAAAAGTGTGTCGGGTGGCTGATTTAAAAGCGGTAACTTAACTTTTCCGTTTGAACAACACATTCCAGATGCTTAAGTTTTAAACTTTTATTATGGGATTGATAGTTCTGGGGTTGGGGGCCGGGGGAGGTTTTTAGTCGGTGAATAAGTCCGGCATAACCCTAGGGACCGGCCTTAGGGTATGCGTAACCTTTTTCCTTTTCCAACAAAAAAAAGCAGGATCTTAAAATTTGCAAAAGTTCCGTAGAAGAATTAACTAACCGATAGAACAAAATGGAAATAATAAATATCTACAATAAGTAAAAATCATTTTAGTAAAAACATTAATTATTTAATTGATTTTTGCTTGATAAGCTATTGTCTGATAAAGGAATTTTTTTCCATTAAGGATATTGAAATACAAATGAAGTCGTTTGAAGAAAAACGACTCCCGGGCGAAGCCAAATAATTGACCGAATTTTAAAGAATTGTATATGAATCAGGGGTAGAATTTCCCGGGGAGTGTCATAAAGTGTATAATTTTTTGTTACCGATCTTTTGGGAAACCGGTATCAGAAATTTTTCCAATTTTTTGAGAGTATAGTTTTTTGTTACCGATCTTTTTGGGAACCGGTATCCAAAATTTTTTCAATTTTTCAGGAAATAATTGACCGAATTTTAAAGAATTGTATATAAAACGTTATCTTCCGCAAATACCACATACTTACAATATTTTTTGTAATGCCTGTTGTGAAAGTTCGATTTGAGATTGAAATTAAATTCAAATAAGAAATAGTATTCAGTGAATACCGTTACGAATTGACGTTTTGTCTCGCATGAACTTCGTTTGTTACAAAGCTGAAACTTCAAGTCAAACGAACATAACGCGAGCATTCAAGTCAAACGAACATAACGCGAGCAGTATTGAAATTGCAAATATAATCAATTTTAAAATGTGAGTCAGTGATATTAATTGCAAATATTAATTGTAATAGATAGTTCTAAATTGTGAACCTGTGTGTGTTAATAATTTTTGTGAGTACGGAAGAGTCAGGAAGAGCGGAGATTGGGAACGTGAGGGAAAGCACGTGAGCGAGCAACGCACGCAATATTTTGAAATAGATAAGTAAAACGTTGTTTTCCGTAAATAACATATACTTACAATATCACATACTTACAATATTTTTTGTAAGTAAAACGTCGTTTTCCGTAAATAACATATACTTACAATATCACATACTTACAATATTTTTGTAATGTTTGTTGCGAAAGTTCGATTAAACGTGAAGGAAAGCACGCGAGCGAGCAACGTAATATTTTGAAATAAGTAATTTACAATTTTTTAGGGACCGATTTTTCTTCTAAATTTGAATTATTAACTTTATCTCTCTTAAAGGATCTATATTATAGAATAAAATCTTAAAAAAATAATTTTAGAATGCCTCCGAAAAAGAGAAAATCTATTGGACAAATCAGTTTAAAATCTAAGAAAATTAAATTATTAAGAGAAGCAGAGACGATTCAACAGCGTGAAGTCCGACTTGAGGAAAATCGAAAAAGAAATGCCGAGTCGAGGGCAGCGGAGACGACTCAACAGCTTGAAGCCCGACTTGAGGAAAATCGAAAAAGAAATGCCGAGTCAAGGGCAGCGGAGACGACTCAACAGTTTGAAGCCCGACTTGAGGAAAATCGAAAAAGAAATGCCGAGTCGAGGGCAACGGAGACGACTCAACAGCTTGAAGCCCGACTTGAAGAAAATCGAAAAAGAAATGCCGAGTCGAGGGCATTATAATACCTGGAAATTTGGATCCACCTAAAATGTGTAATGAAACTAGGTTAAGTGTGAAGAAACTTATGCCAAACGTAATAGAGGCGACAATATTAACTGGCAGTGCTAAAGAAGAAGATGTATTCATTCCACGCATTCTTATAATACCTACTGACATGCCTTTCAAATTTAAGCGATTGCAATATCCAGTACGACTTGCATTTGCAATGACTATAAATAAAGCACAAGGACAATCACTAAAGGTGGCAGGTATTAATTTAGAAAGTCCATGTTTTTCCCATGGTCAACTATATGTCGCTTGCTCAAGAGTAGGCACGCCAAAAGATTTATACATTTATGCACCGGAAGGAAAAACAAAAAATATTGTTTATCAGAAAGCATTAGAATAATAAATTAATCATAATTAACACGAGGGTGGGGGATGAGGGAGGTTTTTAGCCGGTGCAAATCCGGCATAACCTTAGGGACCGGCCCTAGAGCATGCATTAAGCATTTTCCTCCTCCAACGAAAAACAAAAAAAAAGGCCGAATATCTTAAAATTGGCGTAAATTAGACAACATACAATGTTGGAAACTGGTTTTAAAATTAAATAAATTTTTCGAGAAATATTAAATATAAATGAACAACATTTCTTTAATGATAATACTCATCTTTTAATAATTTTCTGAATAAATGAAGTAGTTTGAAGAAAAACGACTCCCGGGCAAAGCCCGGGTAACCAGCTAGTAAAATATAATTATATATAATTATATATGAGCAAATTTTTCACATTTGCACAGACTTTATTTTTTTGTAAAAAAAAAAAACAATGCAAAAATTATCCTTTTAATTATTTTCTTATTATTTTTCTTGTACATATAAACAGAGATTGTATAAGAGAAAAAAAGATGATTTTGATGAAACTGGTACCAAAAGATTACTAATTTTATGGGGATGGCTACTATGTGATTAAAAATTGGGGGTTTTATGGGGTTCTATTGGTGCTCCTAATTAATGGGTGAGTTTGGGGAACAGATTTTGAGCCCGCGCGAAGCGCGGGCGAAAAATCTAGTTATATAATATTATATGATTATATATATTTAGATGTTTTTATATAAAAAATTTTTTACCGGGTGGTTTTGTTTGTGTTAAGATTAAAATGTTTTCTCCTCACAATTAGTATGTTTTATTTATACATGAACTGCAATAGCAAATGATACTCCGCGCGAATATAGTAAACATACATATATGAATATATATATATATATATATATATATATATATATATATATATATATAAATGTATTATAGGTATTAGTATGAATCTACGATAGAATAATAGGTTGTGTGGAGTGATGTGCAACACTTTTTTTTGTTGCTCGGAAAACATATCCAAAAATCAAATTCTTGAATATATCATGGCTGTATAATGTAGAGGAAGGAAAATACTAAAATTCTGCGTGATAGGATTTTCAAAAATTTAAATTCTTCCTAAAAATTTTGCGAGTTTTCAAAAAAACGTCTGTTTTAGCATTTTCAAATTTTCTTGGGGTGATGTGCAACACAGGTAAAATTAAAGTAAAAAATGCATGAATATCGACATCAATCGACTTAAATGTTAAATTTGGGCTTCTTAAATACAAATTAATCGAAATCTGGTGGACAAATCGACCTCTGACAAATGGAAATTTCACAAAAAAAATTATTTTTTATTTGATTTCTTATTTATTTATCGCTTAAAAATTAATATAGTAATGAAAGGAAAAACGCAAAAAACTTTATTTTTCATTATCTGAATCGCAGTTGTCACAAGTAAAATAGTTGCTGTGGGCTATCGTGCCACTTACGCTGGGGCGTCGCGTGCCCTTCGCAGAGGATATGCCGTAGCGTGAAAGGTATCGTCGAGTGACCTGAGAGACAGATGTATGTAATAAATAGGTCGTTTATTCTATGTCCTATAATACAAGTGTAGGTGTGTCAGTGTGCTGTGGAAGGCCCTAAGAAGGGCCGTGAAGGCGGCCCTGAAAAGGGCCGTTTGGGTTCTTCCTGTGTGGTGGCCCTGAGAAGGGCCGATTGGTTTCTTCTCCTCCTAGTCGGGGAGTCGCTCACGCCAGATGATGCTCGGCTGCGTCTTGGTCCTCCGGAAGGAACTGTACTTCCGCCACGCCGGCGGTGTCCCTGGTGGTGTGAGGGACCGCTCCGGTTCCTCGGTCTGCGTAGACGCCGCTGATTGTACCGGTGGCTCCTCCGTCTGTGTTCCTTGTGAGGAGGTAATCTCCCACTCCGGGTCGGTCTGCACTTCCTGAGTGTCGCGTGGAGGCTGGTGTTGCACGCCTCGATGAACACGCGCAGGAGGGATGGTCTGCGTCTCCTGGTGTACCCGCTCGGAAGGTGACGGTGGCAGAGGCGACAGGAGTGGAGGCACCGTCCACGATAGTCGAGGAGATGTGTAGCGCCGGACCCTTACGTCCCACGTTGAGATGAGCGCACGTGGAGGACGAGTCAGTCTCACCGGCGAGAGCTGGAGAGGGACGAGCTTCCACAGTTGGCCTGGACGGCAGTCCAGGGGCCGCTGAGGTTGTCTCGGTAGCGGCAGGCGAAGTGGCGCAGCTCGTCTCGGTGGTGGCCGTAGCTTCGGCGGCGGCAAGGTGACGGCGAGGTCGTTATCAAAAAGTACTTCTCCTGGTCTTGGCTGTGAGCCTGAGAGCAGTCGAAAGCTGCCTAGGCCGTCGCCGTGTGGCCTTTTATTCTTCCCTGTCGGGAAATGAAACGCGAGAAAGTCTGCCACCTATCGGCGGCACTCTCGTATAGCTTCGCGGGCCGTAGTCTGGCCCACGCGCTCGGCGCGTGATCGGTTGGCGCGCGCGCGGCGCGCGTACCGTTTCGATTGTGCGGTCGGAAGACCGCCACAGTTGCGATCTTGCATGTCGACACAGTGTTGCACATCACCCCAAACACGCTATTTTGCGCGGACTGGCGCTAATATTACTTTGTCTTATAACGTGGCCTTTTAAAACAAAAACTCAATTTAAAATAAAAGCACAATTAATTATTAATATCAATTAAATTGTAAGTGTATAGTGTTGTATTAATTTATTTTACTAATATACATTGTAATGTAAAAATATTGAATTAATTGTAAATTAATTACAAGAGCAGACGTTTTGTATAGAACTTTGAGTATAGAACTTTGACGCAATCCTGATTATCGTGTTATAGTGACTGACTTTGTGATTATCGGTTTGCACCCAGTGGACGATTTTCATTTTTATAGCGAAGCACGCCATAACTAAAGAATTAATATAATGTAACTATTGTAACTTTTACGTTAATTTTCAATTCTTTCAATGTCTTATTACGATTATTAAAAATACGTTGGCAATTAATGTATGTATATGGTTTAAATTTTTCTTGAAAGATAATCTTTTTATAAAATCGATAAGATAAAATATTAAAATTTATCTTTATAATATTATTTTTAAATAAAAAGTGAACAATTTTTTCCATAGGTGAGTCTGTTAATAAATAATGCTGGATATGTATACGGGAAGACTTTTATGAAATTGCCCGACAACGAAATTGAAAAAACTTTCAAAGTGAATATTCTGTCACATTATTGGGTGAGTGTTAATTTTAAAGAAATTTGAGTTTTTCAGATTTTTTTTATAAAGGTTATTATACAAAACTTCCGATTTATATATTTTATTTAGTATTTCTCCACAGATTACAAAGTCATTCTTGAAAGATATGATGAAAAATAATCATGGTCACATTGTGACGATAGCGAGCGTCGCTGGGCTTTTAGGGATTTACAATTGTACAGATTATTCTGCAACAAAATTCGCCGCCATTGGATGCCACGAGAGTCTCTTCACCGAACTCAAAGTGCGTAAGAATATCCAATTATCGAGTAAAGCAAATAGTTTTTATGTCATTTTTATCACTTTCTTATTACAATTATTATTATTTTATTATTATCAATATATTTTAAGGTACATGGATACGAAGGAATTCATATGACTTTAGTTTGTCCCTATCTTATTAATACGGGAATGTTTAATGGAGTGAAACCTAGGTTCGTGAAAATATATAATGCGATATTCCTGGAGAGAACATTATACATTTATTTATAATACATAATGTACTTTATAATAAAATAATATTTCAAGATTGATGCCGATGCTTGAACCAACATATGTTGCCGAAGAAGTGGTCACAGGTGTATTAGCGAACGAGACGTTGATAGTACTACCTAATATTCTAAGATATTTACTGCCATTTAAAAGGTGAGTTTATAATAATAAAACTTTAATGACCTTGACATATGTTGTCAAAGACGCAACCCTAATTAACTTGCAAAAGATTTTAGTCGTTAATCGATCTATTTACTAAAAAGTTATTAACAAATAAATTGAATTATAAAGACGTATGTTGAATGCCATAACTTACCGAGCTTATCGAGTACAGAGAATTCTACGTTATTTGCATATATACATTTTATAATGAGTAAAGTGCTTAGGCGGAGGAAAAGTTTCCTTTCCCTGCACTTCGAAAAAGTTCTTAACCTAATCTAAACTTATTTCATTTTGAAACTAAAATTAAGTTTAAGTTAGGTTAAAATTTCTTCAGGGGAAGAATACAGAGAGCGAAGTTCCTCCATCTAAGCATCTATTATTTAAATATATGTATACACGTAAATTGTTTATTAAAAATTATTAAGGGAATAAAATAAACCACATAAATATATGTATAATTTATTATGCTTTACTGACAATGAGTATGAATTAATAATTCATTACGTATTTAGTTGAATTTTTATTTTAATCACCGTAAACTTGTAGATGCTATTTTTAATATTATAACAAATATATATCTGAAAATATCAACGAAATAAATAATCGTAATTTATTATAATTTGCAATTGTCTATCGCTTTCTTTTTACTTTCTAATACAAAGTCAAAAATCCATGAATGTACGTCCGAAGCACCGAAGAGAACGACTACTTTTAATTGTTAACAACTCTTTAATAGACAATGAACAATGGCTAAAATTTCTTAAATATTAGAGCTATTTTTGATAATATATGTCAAGATCATTAAAATCAGTGAAATCGCTCTTAATATATGCAGTTTTACTAAATAAATAAATAAATAAACATATATACATATAGGTATATTAAAGTTATTGATATTGTTATTTATTAGCTTATTACCGATGAAAGTGAGCTGGGCATTAATGTATCACATTTTGAAAGGACCACAGATCATGATGACATTCAAAGGTCGTGACTCGAACCATAAAGATAATAATGATAATAATAGTACAACGAATTATAAAGATAGATGCGTGCGTTAAAGTTATACGAGGCACAATACATATATTTTATCAATAATACAAAAATTTATATATGATTATTGAAATATTTTGTCGCTTTCTTTTATGTACATGCATCTTTATATACATATAGATATCACAAAATTTTTGTTATATAAAATGGAAAGTTATGTAACTACTTATAATAAGTCATAAAAATAATTCAATCCTTGACCTAATTCCCAAATCGAGATTCCTGTACCCAATTCGTTAGCAAGTTCTAATCGAGTTTGAATGGAATATAACGTAGGGTAGAAGACATAGCTATTACCTGTAGCTAATCTGAAATAAATACATCAATTTATAAATATAATATTAAAAAGTTTTTTTTACATTTTTTATATTAATTATAAATAAGAAAAAGAAAAAAAGGAAAAAAGGAAAAAAGAGAGAGAGAAGGAAAGACGGCACAGAAAAAAAGAAAATAGAAAAGGATAAGAGAAAAGAGAAGAATAGAAAAGTCATAGAAAATAAGAAATTGATGATTGGGGGAAAAAAGGGAGAAGAAAACAAGGATAAGTAAAAAGAAGGAAAGGGAGAGGGAAAATGAGGAAAATAGATGAAGAAAAAATATAGGAAAGGAGTAGAGACAAACGAGACTGAAAAAAAGAAAGAGAAAGAACAGATAGATTGTAATAAAATATTACTTTGGTTCAAAGAAATGCTCTTTGCTGCTGTCATCCCAATGAATCTTTCCTTTGAATGATTTCAGTATATCCAAATATTCAGAGGCGAAAATTGCCCTGCCACCCTCTGGTGTATAATTATAACCATAGAAGTTAATACCTAATAAAATTTGAGATCGTCTAGGATCGTCTTTCTCTGGAGCTAACAATTCTACACATTGTCTGGCCCAATCGAGAGGACTATTCGGACCTGGTTTTTGAATACTCGAATAATCATAAGTCATAAGTGAAAAGGCATTTACATATAATGCTAATTCATCAAACTGTTGCTTTGAAAAAAATTCAATTTGTGCACTAAAAACAAACAACTTGACTAAGTAAAAAAATTAAATTTATGTTTCTTATATCTATTTTAAAAAGTATTAAGTACCCTCTAGATGGTGGCACTGCTAATATAATATCTAAATTATGTTTCTTCAACTTTTGTGCAATGGATTTGACTATAGAAGTAACAATTTGTAAATTTGCACCTGCAAATACAAACTGATTCCATATTTCTAAAACATATCCGTCAAAGTGGAAGGTCTGTAAATATAAAATTTTTATGTTTTATATTTTAATAGATAGAGAATATGCAATAATATATATATATATATATATATATATATATATATATATATGCATATATATATATTATTGCATTTAAAGTTCAAAGTATAAACCTTAATATCGTCCAAATGGTTATATTTATAAAAAAAACATAAGAGACCTTTTTTGTAGATCGTTAAATTTTCTACAAAAATATGTATTGAGTATTTTATAATTTTTGATAGTCGATATGATACAAAATTCATAAAAAGCAAAAACAAGTTTTATAAAATTTATCAAACTTTAACTTTGAATATCTTTTGAACGGTTGAATTTATAAAAAAATAATAAGAGATCTTTTTTGTAGAGCGGTAAATTTACTACAGAAAATTTATGTAGCGCAATGCTGTATTACTGTTTGTTAGATAGTTATAAAATTTTTTCTATCTTACTAAATAAAAAATGCAAAATCGCGATGAGCGACCTGTTAATATTAATATTAAGGGCTAAAAATTTAACAGGTAGGAGAGACCGGGACTAAGCCGACAACGGGGCTAACTTGACACTAGGCTTTTTGCCAATTTAAATCTATCGTAGAAACTTGCCTTTCCTACTGTAAATGCGTCTTTATGTGCCAGTATTATCAACGGAATTTGGTAACATTCTGAGTTATAGTGTAATTTTTAACGCGACATAAGCGTTTTTGATAGTAAAAAGTAATTTTTCTGATCTCTCAAAAATGTCTACTCTTTCATCGAGCTTTACTCTTGCGAATCTACCGGTAAGGAATTTTGATGGGAAATTCGATGCTTTATACGAATCCGATAATAATTTTTGCATATTTTTAAAATTTTTATATTTTTGGAGTAACAAAAGTAAAAAACGACGTTCGGGGCTAAGTCGACACGCTGTTTTATTAGTTCTCAATAATAAACGATGCTTGTAATGCAGCATATGGCCCATGACAAATCTGTGCGCACGTGTAATCGCGAATTTACTTGCACTAGACACTACAGACGCGCGCTTCGCGCGCGCTATTTAGCTTTAACATTATGCTATTATATAATAATCTCGACACGACGCGGGACGATTAACCTCGCGACACGACGCGAGCTGTCACATCATGACACACACGACGCACTACACGCACGAAACTCGCCACACTCCGCGATGACAGTCCCTCACGGAATGAAGCAAGCTACGGCGCGGCAATCAATCGAGATAACCAATCGGCATCGCGGAAAAGAGGCTTCAATTTTTCGATACAAACGAAATTCATTCAGTTAACACGCTTTTTTTAAAAGTGGATAAATTGTTTTTCAGACATGAGTTTAGATGAAAATAATTGAATGTTTAACAATTTTTGTTCTCATTATTTCCAATGATTGTTTTACTTAATTCCAAATTTTTGTACTTTCTAAATACACGATAAACAAATGTATATTTAGTTTCAGACAATAAAAAATAAGTTCCAGATCAAATTGTGTCAATCAGGCAAAGTGTCGAGTTTACCCCGGCATTTTTCAATTTGAAAATTTGTCTTCGCGTCACTTTTCCTTTCCTGGCGGCAAAACAAAGCGACGTACAGCAAAACTTCCTGAATCAATTTTGTACCTGAAGAAACACTCTTTAAATATATATCATTGAATTTGCCTAAAAATTTTAATTAAATATTAAAAATTGCCTTTGAAAAAATAGTGTTGGCTTAGCCCCGGTCTCCCCTATCTTATTTTACCTTCCTGGAAGTATATATGCTATTCGTAAAATGAAAAAAAAAGTTGCCACAAAATGACACGCTTTAATATATATATATATATATATATATATATATATATATATATATATACATAAATTATTAATGTACATACCTTGGCAGTATCTAAGAGAGATACTATTAATTGAATTTGACTCTCTTTATTACCATATATCCTAATAATGTCGTCGATTGACCAATGTTCAAATAATACTCTAGGTATAACTAAAAATAGTAATAACATCAGTATAGAATTATAATCATACTTCAATTATTTTCAACTTACGCTTTACGATATGATTAACATTGTTCTTGGCTCTCATTTCCTTTATCCACTTAGTCTGGACAGAATTAATGGACAATTGATAGGTTGATGTATTACCAAAAGAAAAAGCCAACCATACTGGAGATACCATTGTAAACTTGCCATGAAATGTTTTGGAAATCTCAAAACCGTTTCCATTCCACTGTAAAATTGAATTATATTCAATGTAAATATATTATTGGATTCCATGTTTATGATTTTATAGAACTAGGCAATGTTACAATAACTATGTAATTACTCACGGGTGTACAATATCCTAGGACATTTCTCTTAAATCTTCTATGCTCAGTATTTTGAAAATATCGACCAGATTCATGAAGAATGTCCTGTTGTTTAGGATTTTCTATTACCAAGTTTCTTTGGAAAACATCTTGGTCCACCGGGCCTTTGTACAACTTACAAAATTTATAAAATTTATAAAATAAGGAACTGCTTATTTTTATATACATACATATCGCACATCTAAAAGAACTGTCACAACTCAGAAATTTGCAATTTTCAGGGAAAAGAAAAAACATATTTAATTCAATTTTTTTTAATTGTGAGATAACTAATATAATTACAATTACAATATTTTGTTATAATGAAACTTATACTGTTTCCTAAAGAAATCTGCCTATTTTTATTAATTTTTGAGGTGCAATAGCTATTCTATATAAATACCTAACCGTGCTGTACCCGTACCGTATCCGTACCGTACAAGGTACAGAAACATTAAACAAGGATTTCTATTGTCTCCGCATCCTTGTCTAATTTTTCTGTCCGAGCACGGTACTGATACGGTACGGGTACAGCACGGTTATGTCTGAATCGACCTTATAACGTAACCAATTTAAAAAAATAATGACATTTCTGCTCCGTTCTGCAGCGGACTTCGCATATAACCTTATGACACTATTATAGCACATAAGTAACATTTTAGGCATACTTTTTATAGGCTTTCAAAATAGAAATTTTTTTGGTTGTGTGTGTGACGGTATTCTTCTAGGGGTGAAATATATATATATATATATATATATATATATATATATGTACATAAATTATTACTAATTATTAGTAAATTTATATAAATTAAATTTATTAGTAAAAATATTAAAAGACAAGATATTTGATACTAATAAATAGATAGATAAACTTTATTGTTTCCTCATATAAATAAGTTAATTATACAACTATACTAATAAATACCCGGATAGTCAAATCTGTTCAGAACAAATTTTGAAAGTGCTACAAATTTTATTGATAGAAATGTCAGTAGAAATATAAGAGAATTATAAGAGAATTTGCTAATAAGGAGTCTGTTCTTTATTGCCACACTAGATTACACTAAAACTTTCTTTCGCCAACTTTAAACATACTATTTTATTTTAAGTATGTACAATGAGTATGTGCACTAGTGCACTAGTACAACTATAAAGAATAGATCTAGAATATGGTGGTAGATTGACTGCAGAAACTGAGCAGAATCTGCTGTTTTCTAATGATGTACATATTCCATTTAAATGTTTACGAAAAAAAAACAGATTTTGTTCGGTTTCTGCCGACAATCTGCTGTCAGATTATATTGATAGGCGGTACTAGCAAAATATGAGTTTAATACAAACACTGATGATATTATATCAATTATTACGTTTTCATTAAAACATTTTAGCAATATAATTATAATTAGTATAAAATTATTAATAATATTTATATTGCTTCTGTTGCAATATCTGAGCAAGTCTGTTGCCAATCTTTACTTATTGAGATACTCATTTATCTTTTGTAATTTTGAAAAGTTTCTTATATAATTTTGTGTTAAATATTTATGATAAATATTTGTTTTAATTATCGTATAATTAAAATTATATTATAACCTATCACTTGGTTCTTTTATTTTAATTAAATAAAACAATTAATATTAAATTGCATGCAGTTCAATAAACAGTTTGTTAACAAGACATACAATTCGCAAAGAATTTATATCAATTATTACGTTTTTATTAGAGTATTTTAGTAATATAATTATAATTAGTATAAAAGTATTAGTTTTATATTTAGCTTTTATTCTTTCTAAAATCTTATATTGTACATACCCAGATAGCCAAATGCTGCGAGTTTGCTGCCATGTTGCCAACAAGCAGCTTGTCGTTAATGCAACTAATTTTGACAAACTCGAGACATGGTGAGACAGCATTATGCTTGTCGGGTTGAACTCATATGAATTATATTTCTATTAACAGCAAATTGATTGCAACGTGACAGCATCAATTTGTGAGGGATTTGTGACAATTTCATATTGTCAATACTTCGTTAGCAACGAGATACAATTAAAAAACTTCAAGCTTGATGACATGTACGCAATAACGGATGGAAGTCATTATCTATGTGTTGTTGCCGTCACGTTTGCATCATGATGCTCAAGATGGAACGATGAATCATTCATTGCTGACATGTTGCAGGCAACATAACGTACCAATATTGCTCTTGAAATTGCGTCAACTGATTGCATGTATAAGCAGTCATGTAGCTGTATTTGTAACGTATTCTATTTCAATGTCAGCAAATTTACAGCAAATATATGAAAACACATGCAATGCATTAGTTTGCTCAATATGCTCTATCACGCTTGGCTATCTGGGTATATATAATATTATTAAATTTTATGCTTTTATTGTAACATGCATATAAATGGGAATAAAATATATTTTCTTTGATACTTACTTTATTGTTATGTTTTCCTTTCTCTTTCTTATTCTTTTCTGTTGGTGGTAACAGAGTACCGAAACATAATTCAGTAAGGAATAATATTGCGATTAGAATAATCTTATTCATACTCATATTGAGTAACAATTACATATTAATACATCAAATAATATTTGACATATTCCTTATGTGACTGAGGAACACTGAGAAAAATACGGTAGCCTTCCTTCCTTTTTGGTTATTGGCTCAGTGTTGCCAACTCGGATCGTCATTATCCCGCACTAAAGCAGGGCACACACATCTTTCGTAGAACGTAACAGTAAGGTTCCGACCAATCGTGTTGCTCGATTCTTACTTCTACGGTTACAGACGGCCGAATTGAGCAACGCGATTGGTCGAAACCCTACTGTTACGTTCTACGAAAAGTGTGTGTGGCCAGCTTAAAGGGCTTCGTGCATGGTGGAAGAACACAGGTGTGCTCTTGCGCATATATTTCTAACAGCCAATGAGAAATTGATGCCAGATACCTCCATCTTGCCGCGGTACAGTTTGATTTTGGCGTTATGTCATTAGTGTATAGGCTGCGGTCAGTGCGGTCCACTTGATGCTACAAATGCTTCGAAGAATTCCTCTTCTCTTTTCTTTCAATGAAGAAATAAGGAAAAGAAGAACGCTTCAAAGTATTTGCAGCGTCAAGTGGACCGCAGTCTTACTTATTTATTTTTATGTTTTACTTATTTATTTTTGTGTTTAATTTATATATAAAAAGGACAATTGTTAAAGAATAAATTAGTTTGAAAAATATATTATTAATATTGCATACATACATATATGATATAATTACACAGTATATAAAAACATATACATGTAATGCGTACTTATTTTTTAATGTTAGTAATTTTTCTCTTTTTTTTTTTTTTTTTTTCTTTCTTTTATATGCGTCACTTTTTAATTTCTTGTTTAATTCTCGAACACGAATATATGTCCTTGTGCGTATTAAGCATAATAATACTTTGTTTGGTATTTCTAAGCAGTTTTTATTTTGTAATGCGATGATTTTCGACGCTAATGTTTTAAAAATCCATGGCTCCTTACAAATAGAAGAACCATGATAATCTTGAAATAAATTTTCCATGATTTTCGCCGTTTCAAATAATTCGACACAAGGGCTGATTATTCTTCCTCTAGAAATATGATTAATCCAGTCGTTATGGATTAATCAATAATTCTGTTGGGGTTCCTAAAAATGGAAATTGACTCTGAAATCTGAAAGCCGCATAACCTGCGATGTATTTAAGACCCTCTTCTTTTATTACATCAATTACATTCAATTCTTCCACTCGATCCAAAAGTCTCAATTCATCTTCAGTTGGAGAATATTGTATATTTATACTTGTATCTATATGTGTATATATATATATATATATATATATATATATATATATATATATATATATATGTTAAAAGGCGTATAATATAATGTAATAAATAATATATTATTTTTGGGTGGGATCCGATTGACCACGTCGACAATTGGCTGATTTAAAATAAAAATTTCTGATATGCTGGTCCAGTGGAAAAACTTCAGGCACCGAGGGCTGTGAGTCAATTAATCGCAACGTGGTCAAACGGAACGCTGCCTCACTTTCACATGTAATTTATCTGCCTGTAGAAGTGATTACTTAATAATAATACATACATACATACATACACACATATACATAGTATACATAAAAAATAAAAATACAAATTTATTATTTTACGGCGGAGTCGACTAAATATATATAAATTTTTTTCCCGTGTACATATTTACATACATATTTTATAGCTTACCAGGGTCATCATTTTCAGGGTTTTCATCTTCAAATTCCATAAATTCATATAAACAATCTTTATCAAAGCCTTCATTCGAATGTGCATTATATTGCATATTCTCTAGAATTAACTCATCTGCCTCGTCGTAATCGTCGGTATTTTCCTTTCTACTCTCCTCTCTCTCTTCTTCTTTTTCCTCGTCGCCGAAGTTGATATCGCTAGTTAAGCACATTTCCGAAGAATCTTGCATATAGGTATTAAATACTGCCGGTAGTAAATACATCTAACGAATGCTTTCCTAGCACATACCAACGTAGTCTGTATCGAAATTGCAATGGTGTTGGGTTGTCATAACTTGCTCCCATAGCTCGGATGTACGCAAATAAATTTTCGATCACATCTTGATTAAGGCGGTTGGTCATGATATATTTTATGTCTGCATTTTTACTTGTGATGTCTTCGTATAAACGCATTAACGAAGCATTAGATAATAAAATCCCTTTTTGAAAGGAAAGTAGACTTTTTCGTTTACCTACTCTCATATTTTTTACCACATTTGTTACTTTGTTTAAAATAGCATTTTGCTTCTCCAAATCTATACCATAGGCGTGAAGTCCTTCATGGTTACCGAACTTGCTAATACTATTAAACAGATCAAACTATTTATTAAATAAACTGAGAAAACGTACAGTTTCGGGCTACGTCAAGCAATTGTTTATGAAACCACGAAGACCGCACCATTCAATTGCAGCTGCATTGGTATTTGAAAATATTTGCGTGGCTAATTTTACATTTTGCCTTTGAGATCCTACGACGTCTAATCTGACGACGTGCAATCTTGACAATTTATGAGCTATTTTTAAATCCTCTACATTAATTTCTAATAATCTTCCCTGGTAACCATATCCGATAGAAAACGATTAAAAACGGCTATATCTGTATCGTTTTTAATCGTATCTTATCGGTTCTATCGTTGCATATTTAGAAGACAGATAAAACATTAATTGAATCGAATCGGTTTCTATCGTTTTAGGTCCGAATAAAAAAATAACTATACAAATTTTATAGTTATGAATTGTTTTCTATATGTACAATTATTGCCCGTCTGAATCAATCGTATATACACGATATAATATGTATCGTTATTTATGGTAATAATTTTACCGTATGCATTAATACGGATATATAAGAATAAAATGATAGACATCTTATCGATATTTATATGACTTAACCAAACCGATACATCTATCGTTTCTTATCAGGATTTTCTGACATACAACTTATCATCTTCTTTATGGCAGCAAATCGGTTCGTTTTCTATCGTATATATATTAATGATATAAATTGAATCGTTTGAAAACCTTCTACTTTGTATATGTTTGTATAAAGTTAAAACGATAGACATCTCGTCGATATTTATACGATTTAACCGAACCGATACATCTATCGTTTCTTATCAGGATTTTCCGACATACAACTTATCATCTTCTGTACGGCAGCAAATTGGTTCGTTTTCTATCGTATATTAATGATATAAATTGAATCGTTTGAAAACCTTCTACTTTGCATATGTTTTTATAAGGTTAAAACGATAGACATCTCGTCGATATTTATACGACTTAACCGAACCGACACATCTATCGTTTCTTATCAGGATTTTCCGACATACAACTTATCATCTTCTGTACGGCAGCAAATCGGTTCGTTTTCTATCGTATATTAATGATATAAATTGAATCTGTTGGAAATTTCGGTTGGGTGAGGAAAACAAGAGAACAAAATCTTCTTTCTTCCAAAGTATATTTAACACGTCGTTCTCTCTGAGATCACACAAACGTACTGACTACATAAAAACACTAGAGCGCGCTCGTGGCGACAAACTTAAACAGGGCGAGAGAGATAGGTTGCACGGAGCAGTGCTGCCAACGTTTTCATTCCAACACTCCCTTCCGAGGTCAACCTATCTTCTTATACCTTCTTATAACTTCTTAAAACTTAAAATTATTCTTATTCAATCGAGGCTAAATACAAACTTTGTATTAGAAATATTCATAACAAAAACCGCAAGATAAATTTTAGAACAAATTAAAAATAAAATATTAAAGCATTTACATCCTGTCGTTAAATGCGAACTACCGTAATTATATTATAAACTTATTGAATATTTCTATAAACTAAATTTTCTTCCTGTATGTACGCTCCCCGCTCAGTCTCCTGCAATCAGTCAAAGATCATATCAGTGATTAGTGCTTGTTTGAACCGATCGTTTCTCATCGTGTTTTACCGTCGTTCACAATTTAATATTTTATCTCGCATTCGTACATGGGTTTTATAGCATAATGCTTTTGTCATTATATCTGCCCACTGTTCTTTAGTTGATACCCATTTTATTTCTACTTTGTTTTCTTTTACACACTTCTTAACATCTTTTTCTTTAATTCCTGTCATATGTCGTAGTTTATTTCCCTGACTTGTTTTCGCACACGTTTCCGCTGCCTTGTTATCACACATTAATGAGGCAGGGAGAAAACTATCGTTCAGCATTTGATTTAACGATTTATTTATCGACACGATTTCTTGACACGCATGGCTCATAGCGACATATTCGGCTTGGCATGTAGACAAGGCTACATAACTCTGTTTTTGAGTTTTCCATGCAATCGTATCACCGAATAGTTGGATGACATAACCACACGTAGAAATCGAGTTTTTACAGTCTGCAAAACTAGAGTCGGAATATGCCATTAGATCATTACGTTGGCCATAGTAATTCAAACCTACAGTCGTTGTACCTTTTAAATATCTGAACACTCGTTTAACCATTTGCCATTCGTATTCTGTCGGATTAGTCTGATGCCTGCTCAAGACATTTACTGAGTAAGCTATATCCGGTTTTGTTGCACCTGCAAGGTACAGCAGACTTCCTACTGCTTCCCGGTACGGGGCATCTACCGTCGTTTCGTTTAGCACATTTTCTTGTCTTTGGAACTCATCGTGATTTTCCTTTTCGCGTTGTTTGCGTTCTTTATTCTGAACTTGTTTCGTAATCATTGGTGTGTTCTGTGGATGCGCGTTCTCAAAATCGAATTTAATCAAGATACGATTTACATACTTTTCTTGTGTAATATTCAAATTTTTAGTTTTACGATCGCGTTTGATTTCTAGTCTTAAAAATTCTTTGGGTTCACCAAGGTCCGAAATTTCAAAAACTCGCTTTAATTCGTTTTTAATTTCAGTCAGCTTATCCTTGTTGTTACTCGCGATGAGCATATCATCCACATACAATACCAGCAATGCTATTTTGTCTTCAAAATGCCAAGTGAAAAGACACGGATCGTGGTCATCGCTTATTAAACCTAAAGAGTTAGCTATTTCCGTGAGTTTCTCATTCCATCGTTTTGGACTAATCCGAAGGCCATACAGTGCTCTTTTCAATTTACAAACCTTCTTTTCTCGCGTTTCATCCGTAACCATTACCCCCTTAGGAATTTCCATGAATATCTCTTCATCAATTGTCTCGTTTAGGAATGCGGTTTTAACATCAAGCTGACACACATCGAGATCAAGATAATTTATAACAGCCAATACTGTCCTGACCAAAACTAATCTCGAAACAGGGGCATAAGTTTCCTTCAAATCGTAGATGTTTCTGTCCTTAAAACCCCTTATTACCAATCGTGCTTTGAATTTTGTATTACCGTTCGACTCCGTTTTCCGAATATCCATCTTGAATCGATTATATTAGGTTGTTTGCCAGACCCGTCATTCTGTGGGCGATCTACTAATTCCCATACTTTGTTCTTACTCATTGAATTGAGTTCATCTTTGATGGCTGCGTTCCAGTTTCCTTTATCTTCAGACATCATCGCATCTTCAATCGTTACCGGATCTTCGTTTAATTTTGCAAAGAAAGTGTGCAATAATTTATCTACATTTTCGTTGTTGCCTCAAATTCCTTTTCAATTGTTGGAAATTCAATTAACTTGTTTTCTGTTGTTGTCAGAGTCATACCTGCAAAGCTTGTGTCCCGCACCTTTCGGCTTCGAGTGTTATACGGATTTTCATAGGGGTTTGGTTTAAGTTTAGTGTTTTTATTAATTTCATTATTCATTTCTAAAGGTCGTTTTCTTGGTCTTCCTCTACTTCTTTTTATCTCTCCCTCCGTTTTTGACTGTTCTTCGCTGTCACTTTTAGCTTTTTCTTCAAACTTTTCTTCAAAGGTTAACTCTTCGTTCGCCAGAGATGGAACATCTTTCGTGTTTTTCCGAAATTTATCTCCGTATACTAATTTTTCGTTAAACCTCATATCTCTTGATTCGTAAAATCTCTTCATCTCGGGGTTTTAGAACTGGTAACCCGTTGGTGTGTATCCTACAAGAACACCTCGTATCCCGCGCGCTGAGAATTTTGATTCCGGTTTTCGTGTTACTCTCCAGTAGGCTAGACATCCAAATCGTTTTATTTGATTCAAATCAACTTTGTATTCTGATGTGAATTTAGTAATGAGTGTCTTGTAATTGATAGATTTACTGGGAGTTCTATTATAAACATAGACTGCAGCACCAGTAGCTAGATCCCACATATTCGATGGCAATTTTGAATCTAGCATAAAAGCTCGAATCTTTTTCTGTATCATTTGATTAAAGCGTTCCAAAGCGCCATTATGTTGCGGTGTGTCCGGACAAATTGACTGCCGTTCAATACCTTCTCGCGATAGCACTTCGTCGGTATATCCACCGGTAAATTCTGTGCCTTTGTCTGATCGCAAATAACACATCTTTTCATTTCTGCCTAACAGATTTCTAGAACTTCTCAAGAATTCCTCAAGACAATGACCCGTCATATCTTTACTTTTCATCGGATAAGCCATAGCCATTCGTGAGTAATCATCCATGAAAATTTCAATGTACTGATAACCTGAAGGGTATGTTGCTGGGGAGATTTTTCCCATCAAATCAGAGTGAATGATCTGCAGCGGTCGTTTTGCTCGTCCTCGTTTGTTTTTAAAAGGCAATCGTTGTATTTTAAATAAAGCACAGACTTCACAATCTAGAATCGATCGGTCAAACTTAACCTTTTGGAGTTCTTCATTTTCAGTCCAGATCGTTTAAAGTTTTTTAAAGTAATTAAGGGATGCGTGGCCCATACGTACATGCCACAACATTGCTTTGTTAGATTTAATAAAATTATTATAAGAATCCATAAACGGTGAATCACAATCCAACAAATCAACCGAGGGCAATTCGTCAATATTAACAATTTTTCTATCCAAAATCGTTGTATCAAAATTTGAAGTTATTCGTTTAAGATAATCTTTTTCAATTATTGATTTCTCTGAGGTTTTCTCGGTAGTCTTAACAGTCGTTTCAATGGTTGTTTGATCAATCATTTTAACAGCATCGTCTTTTTCTTCCTGAGTTTCCTGACTGTTTATTTCTTTTATTTTCCCTGTTTGTTCATATTCGAGTCGTTCTTCAGTTAGTTTCTCATTTTCACCCTGAACTTCCGTTCTCGACTCACAAGTCTTCCCGATATCATGCATTTGTTCTTTTACTGATCTTACCTCAGCATTTGTAGCTAAGTTTACTGTGGGCGAAAGCTCGTGAAATCGTTGCCCATCGTTCAAATCCTGTTTTTTGTTGATTTCGAATTCAATTATCCAATAAGGACTATCGTATATGCCCGAAATAAATGTTTCATTTGTTTCGGGGTCATAAATATCAATTCGTTTATTGTCCAAGTGTATGTTCCACCCGGTCTCCGCAAAGCGTCGTAAAGATAACAAATTTTCTGATAGTGATTTAGAGTAAATGACATTATTCGGCTCTATGCTACACCTCTCATGTCTCCTTACAGTGCCAGACTAGAGTCAAGCTCAACAGGGTCTTCTTTCCCCGCTAATTTTTCCAAGCCCGTTCCCTTGGCAGTGGTTTCGCTAGATAGTAGATAGGGACAGTGGGAATCTCGTTAATCCATTCATGCGCGTCACTAATTAGATGACGAGGCATTTGGCTACCGTTAAGAGAGTCATAGTTACGACCGCACCGGGGGGTCTGGGGGGGGCGGTTAGCCCCCCCAGAATCCTCCCGTGGTCGGAGTGCAATCAACGTCAGCAGTACTTCCCTTCACGCTAGAATCGGAGCCGACACCGGGGATTTCCCCCTTACAGAGCCCATACCTGACGATTACGTACTCCCGGACAAGCCGACCCTTCAAACGTAGGGGTACGGTTTCCCGTAACGCACATATGACTCACTATTGTACCTGTGGTGTTCCCCAGGTAGCAGGGTATCCTGCAGCGAGCATGACCTACTCGGATTAGATCAGCTCCACTGACAGGACCGGGGTGCCAAGGCACCCCACTAACAGGTAATGCGCAACATGAGCTTCATAGCGCTAACCCACACTAGGCCCTCTATGCCGCTCACTCGGCTATGCGAAACCTCTGCCCCTACGAGTCCGACACCATCTGGTAGGGCACCGGTAGCCTCCCGGTGGGGCTCCCTACCCCCGTAGTACTCGTGTCGAGCGATCTTAGCTCACGTTTGACGAGTTGCCGCCGCTGGTGCCATGCCACCAGCTACCACGTAATCGCACGAGTCACCCCGTACTGTTAACGCGTCGCTCATCGGTTGCCCGGGGATCCGGGATTCGGCAGCAGTCGACGCGCCTTAGGAATATACGGCACGTGGTGCGCCATATACCCCGCTCGTATTGGGCACCTCCCACGCACGAGCACGCCGCGCTCGCCTCGCGAAACGCTACCCTGTTCAGTACTACCGGCTGCATCCGTTACCCAGCTACCTAGGATTGGGCAGCAGCCCAGCAGTTTTATGGGTAAAGGGCACAGGGTGCACCGTTTACCCGCGCTTGCTTGAATTTCTTCACGTTGACATTCAGAGCACTGGGCAGAAATCACATTGCGTCAACACCCGCGAGGGCCATCGCAATTTTAATGTAAAAAGCAACAAGGGAAAGAATCAGCTGATTGCTGATGGTGAATTGTATTACAAGCATGGGGAGGGGTCTAATGGAAAAGTTATTTGGCGGTGTGTGCAGTATAAAACCGGGTGTCGGGGGATTTGTCACACGTCGTCGGAGTTACGCGATGGTACGTAAATTAATGTACTTAATGGCAGTATCGGAAAATTGTCATTACTCTTTTATTTTTTGCTTATTATAGGTATCATTTTGCATCAAACTGAGCACACAACTCACACTCCTAACGCTGCAGCAGTTGAGACAAAGCGCGTTGTTGCAAAATTACGGAAGAAAGCGGTGACAAGCAAGGAAGCATCATCGTCGTTAGTGGCGTCCGTGCTGGGTACGGTGTCGTCTCCTGTTGCTGCACAATTACCGAGTGCTGAGTCATTGAGTCGGACTGTCCGAGGAATCCGTCAAAGAAACAATCCTTTACCGCCTAATCCCAGGAAGAACACATTGTATGAAATACCAGAACACTTTCAAAAGACATTGAAGAGCGTGAAATTCTTGTTATTCGACTCTGAGGATATTAACAACAGACTGCTTATATTTGCTACGGAGGATAATCTGCAGGTGTTGCGAGGATGTGACATATGGTATTGTGATATGTGACTTTTAAATTAGTGCCTGAAATATTCGACCAACTGTACACCGTGCATGGGGAGGTGAATGGCAAAATTGTGCCTCTTGTATATGCGTTATGCCCTAATCGACGCAAGAGAACATATCAAACTCTGTTGCGGGTTCTAAAAGATGCTATTCCCGGGGTGGCCCCAAAAAATGTAATGTCGGATTTTGAGATGGCATTTTTAAAAGCCGTTACACTAGAATTTCCCGAGTGTGAAATCAAAGGGTGTTTATTCCATTTCGGTCAAGCACTTTGGCGTAGTATACAAGATCACGACCTTGCGCCATTGTACCGCGAGAGCAGCCGCGTAGCTCGTAATTTGCGAATGTTATTCGCATTGGCATTCGTTCCTTCCTGCGATGTCACTTACGCGTACGATGCTTTGCTGCAGTCGAAATTTTTCACGGATAATGAGAAAGATTTGAGAGGTTTTCTCGATTATTTTGAGCACACTTGGGTTGGCGTGTTAGGTCGTCGTAAAGTACGACGCGGCGCAATGTTTGACATTTCTTTGTGGAACCACTACTCCTCAGTGATGGTGGCTGTTGCTCGTACCAACAATGCAGTGGAAGGATGGCACCAAGCACTAATCAGAGAGCAAATGGTTCGCATCTCGTACTGTGGAAAATGATTGAGTTGCTTCAAGCAGAGCAGGGTCGCGTCGACGCTCACATTGCGCGCGCGAATGCTCACGCTCCTGCGAATAATAGAAACAAGCGCTACAAAGACAACGATGCGCGATTGAAGAGTCTCGTTGCAGCCTACAACCGACAGGATGTGTTACAATATTTGAAGAATGTCGCTGCTAATCTATCGTTATAAAAATGTGTTATGAATTATGTGTTATTTATCTTTGTTGTTAGTTACGCCGATTGTATTACGTTAATTGCGCTTTGTTGGATGCGTTGAAAATCCTGAGGAATGTTGCTGTCAATCTTTCGTTGTATTAAATTATCATGAGTTATGTATTTATTGTCTTTGTTTTTAGTTACGACAACTTTTTTAATTTATTTGCGCTTTGCTGGTTGCGTTAAACTTCTTGAGAAAAGTTGTCTTGCAAAGTATATGCGTGGGATTTTCACACGTGGAAAGTTGTAAACCCATGTGGCACCTCGCCTCGCGCGAAAACTGTATGCGTGGAGGCAGTAGGTTCCGCCCCCCTGCGGGGGGCTCTACTATCATTAAACTATACACATAGTGTGCCTTGCAAAGTACGTGCGTGGGCTTTTCACACGTGGAAAGTTGTAAACCCATGTGGCACCTCAGTTTTTGCTGGGCATTTTTTCCGGGGGAAATATTTTCCGGGGGAGATTTTTTCCGGGAGAGATATTTTCCGGGGGAGATATTTTCCGGGGGAGATATTTTCCGGGGGAGATTTTTTCCGGGGGAGATTTTTTGATGGGGAGATTTTTTCCGGAGAGATTTTTTCCGGGAACTGATTTCCGGGAGATTTTTTCCGGGGAACAAAACGTCGAGCACGCATTATTCAATACAAAGGCTCTTTTATTTTTCGTGTTAGTAAGTAAATACAAATGTCCCTGACCTTCTGTAAATTTGCCTTTTCGTCTTTATTTGCACATTTAATTATACTAATCCCTTTATCGCTAAAGTTTTTAAGAAAGTCTTTTGAGAAAATCAAATGTTCAGTGGCTCCCGAGTCCGCCACAAAGGTGGTAGACTGAATATTTTCTGTACAGTCGTTAGGTTCTTCTACAATCGTCTCTCCCCCGGTCGTAAGTGAAAATAAAACATTATACATACCTTTCTCCATGTTTTCTTTGTCATTTGCCTGGGATGCAAAATTCGCCTTTGGGACCGTGTTCGCTCCAGTTTGAGATTGTTGACGCTGGTTACCGCCGTTGGGATTAGTTTTATTCCATTTGTTTAAGCTCTTGTCCCCGTTCGTACGCCCTCTGTTGTTTCTATTAAATGTTCCTCGCTGTTTGTTGTAATTTCTGAACTGGTTTCTTTGGCTCTGAGGCTTGAAAGATTGTTTATTATTGGAATGTAATCTTTGATCATATCTTCTATTTTCATCACGTCGTTTTCCTCCGCATCCTTGACCTGACTTGTTAAGCCTTTGCATGCAATCTGCCGCTTTGTGAGTGCCAAATTTGTTGCATTCATAGCATTTTTTGAGACCTCGCCCTTTTCTCGGGCAGTCCTTTTGAAGATGACCATAGTCATCGCATTCGTAGCATCGTTCGTTCAGCCATCGTTTCGAACGTGCTGCCGAGAAAGCAGATACAGTCTTCTTTGAAGTAATTGCATTTGCTCGATTAGCTTCGGCTTCAACTATAAATGATTTAAGTCCGTTGTAGGTTAGTCCTTTACCCGTTTGATTTTTTAACATAAAGTCGAGTGTTTGGACTTCTGGGAAAACAGGCAATATTGCATTATAAAAGGCGTCTCGTTTTTCCTCGTCAGAGAGCGGAGTTGAATCCGGAATATTTTCATAACTTCGTATCAACTCTTCGAACCAATTCCAGAATTTCATCGCAGACTCGTTTACTTTGTATTCCATGGAATACAATTGTCGTCTTATGCTAACACTGGTTAAATTTGTCTCGCATCGTTTAAACTCTTTCAACACGTTAAGAATTTGTTTAGGATCTTGAATACTTAGAATCTTAGAGTGATATGTCTGATCAATTTGATTAATTAGAATATCTCTAACACTGTGTAAATGTTTTTCTTTAATTTGATCGTTTGTTTCTTTTGGGGGAGCTATTTTTTCGTCTATAACGTAAAGTAAATCGTTGGTACGCAATTCTGACTTGAAAAATTCATAAAAGTGTTCAAACTTCACTTGGGGACCTAGCTTGTAATCTCTTTTCGTGCTATTGTTTTTATTGACAACCTCGATTCAAATAGCTTCTTTTATTTGATCAGCCATATTCGAATTGTTAGCCTGCGTGGTTTGTTCCTTTTCCTGAGCACAATTTTTCGGAATGTTTGTGTCTAAGTTTAGTTTGTTTAGTTCTTTACGGAAAATGTTTCTAATCATATCTTCTGAAACTACTGAATTTCGAAATTCGGGTGTTGAAGAGTTTACCGCTGGCATATTGACAATTGACGTTATTCGCGGCTTTGATTGGTCGATTCTTTTAACTGCTTTCTCACTAGTCGTTTCCACCTGTTTAGCTTTCAATAATTTTCCAAACTCAGTTTTAGCTTCTTGTTGCATCTGGATTGTTCGATTCAGCATGTCCTGTAGGGCTATATATTTTTGTGTTAGTTTACTGGAATCCTCTTTTCCTGCGAGATTAGACACAAAGAAGAATTAGCAGATTTGTTCAAGTTTTGATTTATCGTTACTTTTACACTATTCGTTTAGTTATTTTTATATTATTATTTGAATCAACTGTTCGTTACAGTTTCGTTGATTTTCTGTTCGTTGTTCTTTGTAAAGATTAGATATTCTTAATACCCTGCGATTCGTTATCCATCGAGATTAAACAAGACATAAACAAAACAATTTCCGTCGCCAGCAAATAATTCAAAATAAGTCGTTTTATTTTCGACCCAACTGGCCAATTAAAACAAGATTGCACGACGTTTCGACCGAATTCCGGTCCTTATCAAGTGCTTTAATTTAAGTTACACCGATCCGCATAACAAATTGCATCGTTGACATGGTGTCCTGACAACGTCAAGACAAACGCAAAACTAAACAAAAGAGAAAATAATACATTTAACAATAGAAAAACTATACAAAATCGTTACAATATCGCGCTGGTCAAAAACAATAAAATTAATTAACACTGTAAAAATTAGTTAAAAGCTTACAATTCTTATGCGTTCCAAAACAAACGGTGAAATCAAAACGTCACCAGCCATATCGAGGCACAACGTCCGAACAGTAAGACAGTCAAAGTCGAAATGAAGTTGTCAAACGTAATCCGCGGATAGCAAACGGCGCTCTGATGGAAAAACGAGCAGAACCGAATATACAGGGCCGACTAAGTAATACCTATGACCCGGTTATAAATAGATGGCAGGCTCTCAATATCGTTTTGTAAATTGATTGTGCAATCATGTTTTTTAATGAAAAACATTTCCGATATTTCTCTTTTTTTGAAATGTTTTTCTTTGTATAAAATTTTCGGATGTTGCCACTTGAAATCATGATTGTGTGTAAGACGATTTTCTCTTTTGTTTAGTTTTGCGTTTGTCTTGACGTTGTCAGGACACCACGTCAACGATGCAATTTGTTATGCGGATCGGTGTAACTTAAATTAAAGCACTTGATAAGGACCGGAATTTGGTCGAAACGTCGTGCAATCTTGTTTTAATTGGCCAGTTGGGTCGAAAATAAAACGACTTATTTTAAACAAGACATGTTTCGAACAATCTCGCTAATTTTACCTGAGTTCTGACCGTGTTCGTGAATCTCATCTGAGGCTTGAGCTTCGAAGTTTTCCATAATAGCCGCAGTAGTCACTTGACCTTTTGGTTTTTGTGAACCGTCGCCGTCCTCTCGGTTTTGCTCGCTATCTGCCATATTATCTTCCGCCATTACGAAAATATCGTTTTTCTCTGTAAAAACACGAATATTTACCTTTCGTTCAAATGTCGCAGTCGCAACACGTCGTAATGCCTCTTTATAGTTCCTGTTCTGACAGATCGGAGACTATGCTTCTGAATCTCGATGCCACACAGCAAGCACCGAAAATTCGAAACAAATCACACTTTCATGCATGCTACTATCACACACTTCTGTAATGATTCTAGTGACAAGAATCCTCTCCACAGTGAACACAACTGAGACAGAGAATCCAATCACCCGAGAAGCAGGTTTCTGTGTCTAAAGCTGATTCAAATCTTAAAATCAACGCTATTCATTATTACTCGTTGTTTTCTGGATCCCTCGCAAGCTTTCGTCTTCTCTCTCTCTCTGTTTAACAAGTGACTGGTTCATTTACGACGGTTGTCAAAACAAAAATTAAAATAATCAAATAATTAACATTTATTGATTTATCTTGATTACGTTCTTGTAAACTATTGTACTAGATCGTTTTTCGTCTAATCGTTTTGTTATTTCAGTACTGCCGTAAATAAAATAATCCATTTGATTTACTATTCAATTGAATGCTCGTTCGTTTCCTTCTTATTCCTTAATGATTTCGTTCGTTTAATGATCAATATCTTTAATTTCATTAAGATAATTCAATAATGTCGATTTTATTTTGATCATTACGTTTTATTGTTACGTGGTCTTATTAAACTTGTCGAGTTGACTATTCGCATCAGAACAATCAAGTTTCCTACGCAACGCTGTCCCACACACAGACGCAAAACAAAACAAAAACACCGGCATGCAGAAACCCGTACCGCGCTGTATCAACACTAGAACCCACCCGACGACACCGAACTCTCTCGAATTCCATGAGTCCACTAGAGCATCGATAATAAAACAAAACGCACACACTTTTGTCTTACGATATCACTCGTCTAAGTTACATATATCTATTTTGTTCTAAATATATGCTTGATTCATTGTCTTTCATCGGTCTCTGCATACCAATGTGCCTACCATATTTTTACTTTCATACAATTAACCTTTTACACAATTGCATTTTCCTTATTTTTTTCATTAAATATTTACGCGTTTATTGATTATATCAAGCAATAGCTTTTATGTTATACTTTACCCATCCGTTGAGACAATTTCTATTTCTAAATCGCAGTTTTCCTCGGTTTCAGCGGCCTCGTGGCCTTCTAGAATTTTCTTAAGCCTCGCTCTTCTTTCCCCTTTCTTTGCCTACTTATATCGCTCGCAAAGAAAAAGGTAATTAGTTAGCGCAGCGGAAGCGTGCTAGGCCCGTAACCTGTTGGAAATTTCGGTTGGGTGAGGAAAACAAGAGAACAAAATCTTCTTTCTTCCAAAGTATATTTAACACGTCGTTCTCTCTGAAATCACACAAACGTACTGACTACATAAAAACACTAGAGCGCGCTCGTGGCGACAAACTTAAACAGGGCGAGAGAGATAGGTTGCACCGAGCAGTGCTGCCAACCTTTTCATTCCAACAGAATCGTTTGAAAACCTTCTATTTTGCATATGTTTTTATAAGGTTAATACAATAGACATATCTCGTCGATATTTATACGACTGACTTAACCGAACCGACACATCTATCGTTTCTTATCAGGATTTTCCGACTGACAATCATCTTCTGTACGGCAGCTAATCGTTATCTATCGTATATCAACGATATTAACCGAATTGTTTAGAAGCAGCAGACAAAAAAAATTTCTATGAAAATCATATTTTGTGAATACCCAGACAGCACCAAGTCCAAAATCGGGACATAACACGTCTTTTAGATGTTTTTTAGACGTCTTATGTCCCGCTTTTGGACATGCGTGCTGTCTGGGTATTCATAGAAATTTTTCGATTTTCATACATCTAATAATTCAGATATATGAAAAACTATGAATAACTACAATTTTTTATACTTTTTCACAGAAAGCTATGGATTTTTATGAAAAATTAAGTTGAATATATACTGTTGCGCCCGTGCCGAGACACCCGTTGCGCGCTGAACTTCGTCCACGTGAACTTCGCTCGAATAGCTTCAAGTCGAAGCGCGGTCCTTAACGACGGAATTATTGATTTATTGATTACACATTGACTGGGAGAGATTTCGCTCTGGGTTTCCGATTCGTTCGGACGTGTCCACCCGAGCTCTTTGTTAAACGAGTTCCTATTAAACGAGTTCCTTTCTAACATAAAGAGAGTCTTTATTCCTGGAAACGGGATTACGCGCCGCGTTCGCGAGTGAGTGTGTGAGTGAGCAGCGGACGCACGGATAAGCGTAACAATACTAATTTCTACGCGTGCTGTTTTTACGCCAAAAGAGCTGAATCAATTTTGATACTTTTTTATAGAAAATTATGAAAAATAATTTTAACTATATGTTAGATAAACTTTCACGGAATTTTTAATAATAAATTAAACGCCAGTCTGTAATTAATCTTAATTTATTAGAAATATATTTTATATAAGTGTACAAATATGAAGAATTATGAACAGATACATTTTGTTTTTTTAACTGATAATTAAAGTGATATATTAATATATAGTTATAATGTTTCAAATTGGTTCGGCATTGTACAAAGAAATTTGTCACATTTCATTTCGACGACCACAAGTTTTATCAGCTGAATCGGAATTATTTTTTCATCTTGTGCTTCGCTAGTAACTTGTAACATATGATTTATTCTTAATTGATTATAGACCGCAGGCATGGTTGTCAGAACTTCACAAACGACAAAGCAACATTTATTTACAATAATAAAACTTAATATTTCGATAATTGTATCATCGTCTAATTGTACATACTACAGAATCGTTGGTTTTAATAGTTTTACTGTACGCTGCAGTGTGGAGCACAATTCCGCTAAATATGCACCTTTCATATACATGTACTCTTTATTATTCATGAAATTCTTATAATAGTTACTATGGCACTTTAACAAGCTATAATATTTATCCGCATTTTGTACTAATTTTGGAGCACCTGAAAAGCACCTCCCAAGTATTTTGCAACGTGAGTTTCTGATAGAATATCGTAAATAAACGATTCACTAATTATATTAAAAACGATAGAAACTGATATATAGCTGATAAGATATTTACGATAGGATTCCAAGTATTTTGTAACGTGAGTTTCTGATAGAGTACCGTAAATAAACGATTCACTAACCGTATTAAAAACGATAGAAACTGATGTGCAGCTGAGAAGACATTTACGATAAGATTCCAAGTATTTTGTAACGTAAGTTTCTGATAGAATACCGTAAATAAACGATTCACTAACCATATTAAAAACGATAGAAACTGATGTATAGCTGATAAGACATTTACGATAGGATCCCAAGTATTTTGTAACGTTAGTTTCTGATAGAGTACCGTAAATAAACGATTCACTAACCGTATTAAAAACGATAAGAAATTTTTTTATCGTTTTCTATCGGAGATGGTTACCAGGGTTTACAAACTATAACCTGGCATTTCTTATTTGGTCCAATCGCTCTTTCTTCCCTCCTTTCAATTGCAATTTGTTCCATAATATGTATTTCGTCGAAGCATAAAACAGTCATCTTTTCTATTTCCGACATAGATTGGCCTTTATAATTCATAATATTTATGACATTTTTTAAAATGCCCTCAGTCAAATCAAATGCCGTTGCCCATTTTCGAAGTGTTGACATTCCAGGAAGAGGGATATTTCGTGCCTTTCGTAAATACACATAGGCCTTCGGACTTACGCTGCGCAAAGACATTGCAGCTGCTATGTCTTCCGAAGACCAATGTGTCTTTTTCTGCGAAGGATTAAGGAGCATTTTAATTTGACCTGGAGTAAATACAGAGCTCAATATTTCCTGCACATTTTTCTCTACATTATCTTTTTCTTTTCGTTTTTGTTCAGCAAGTTCACGCTGTAAAGTCCTGATTAGTAATTCCGATTTTGCACATTTCCTTCTTAACTCTTTTATTTCACAATGGAATTCTAATTTAACAGACATTGTATCAGCTGTATCTGCAATGTAACAAACATATTCAATATGCAAACAAAATACAAATGTACATACATACAACCATATTTTAAGAGGAGATTCTAGTGTAACCGGTCAAAAAAATCGAATTTTTTTCTTGCATAAATAAATAGTATGAGACTTGAAGAAAATATCTAAAGACGCGCGTCATATTTTGAAGACGTCTTAAAGTCGTCCAAATAAAGTCTTTTTGTAACATAACTATTTTTACTTCTTAATGATGTATAATATAAAGTAATAATAAAATAAAAACCACAAAATTAATTACAATATGTTTGTTTCGCAACTTTATGATTGAAGCGGTGAATTTATGGTATAAGTGGATGTAGTTGCGTGTGATTAGTTTTATGATAACTATTTCATACAGTGTTATAGCTATCAAGAAGATATCATTACAAGATTTTTGAACACTTTAATGATGTACCTGTTATAAACAAGTACAATTAATAAAAAAGCGTTAGGGTCAGAAGATCGTCACTGTCCACTAGATCATCGAAGTCAAGCAACACGGGCGCGGTACTGTACTAGGATGGGTGACCGCCTTAAAAGAGCGGCATATACGCACACGATATGTAAAGAAACAGTTAAAAAAGTGTTTTTTTCCTAGATAAAGAAAAAGAAAAAGTTTTTTTATAAACGTTTATCGAGTGGACGTAAAAAAAAATTATTACTCTTTCAAAATTCAAATAAAAATATTGAAAAAAATTTTATATGTATATAATTTTACATGCAGATAACATATTGTATATATATGTTAATAGTTATTTTAAATAGAAAATATTTTTATATAAATTTAATATTTTATGAAATCTACATCGCACCTAAATTGAATAAATGGCCGCGTTAGCAGAACGTTTATTTTGCAACGTTTATTTTGCCAGTTTAATATGTCATTACAAGATTTTTTTAACACTCTAAATGCACATACAAGTATAAGCAAAAAAGAAGCGTCAGAGTCAGAGGATCACCACTAGTCTGTTTGATAATCAAAGTCAAACAACGTAGGCGCGGGTTACTACTCAGTCGGGTGACCGGCTGGAGAGCGAATTTTTTCGGGTTCGCGGCTATATACACACGGCATATATGTACCCGCAATATTTATTTTAATCATCATTTTTCGCCCGGTTATACTAGAATCCTCTCTTAAAAATAAATTCTTACCAAAATTTAATGAATGTCTTGAAGTCGAAGCCTCCATCTGGTCTTCAGACAGTACTACATCCATCGCAGCAGGCATTGCATCTGGCGTTATCGTAGATACATCAAGGCCTGAAAAGATGAACACATTATTAATATATTGTGTAAGCTTAATTAGAAACTTATATTTGAAGTCAGAAAACCATATATAATAATAATACACACTCTTTACTACTGAAGAAGATGCTTGTACACTTTCGCTAGTTGATGAGCGAAATAAATTTTAAATTTTGCGTGGGGACTGCATCAGGTTTCAATGTACGTTTTTTTGCCGTTGTATGGTTTAAGTTATACGGTTGCATCCACGAAGTCTCTTTGTATGCTGCTTCATCAAAGTGAGCAGAACAGATGTGTCCTTCATAATAAATTATTTTTATTGCATGAGTATCACGTCTATCCTATCCCCACAATTAAGCAAGAATGTATTTGATTTCATACATACCGTTTATTAAGCAAGAATTTAATTGATTTCATACATACCGTTTTTTATATTGACATTTTCTTTTCCACAAGCTGCTTCCCATTTTAATAACAACTTTACTTTTTTTCGGAAACCGAAAAAAATGAATATTTTTTGAATTCTTTTGAGAATCGTTTTTACACGTTTTTATAGAACACGTACTCATTGTGATATGTCACAAAGTCACTTAGTACAACCTTAAATGTTTTGAAACGGCCACTTAAAAATGGCTGCATCTGGCATCTGCGCAGAACCGTCTCGACTATGAGCACACCTGTTTTCTTCCACCATGGTTTTGTGAAATTCCGCTTAAAACTACTAAACTTCTCTGCGTTCTTTTTCATCAAATGGTGCATGCTTTTCCACACAAAACCACTGCCTATAGGCTGCGTTCGGAAACGCTACTCTGAAGGTAGATTCGGGTGAGTAGTGGTGGGGGCAAGGTGCACCCCGGGTGTAAGTAGTTTCTGAACACCAACGTATAGTTGGCAAACAAATTAAAAATTATTTATGATTATCTTTTCCAATCGTTTGGAAATCATTTGGAGAAATTTGGAAAAAACTTTTTAGAGTTTGGAAAACCATATAATAATAGAAAATCAATGAAAATCAATTAAGCGTATAGTTGGCAGACATGTAGTCTAAAAAATTTTTTTTATCTAATCGCTCCAGAATTATTTGGATAAAATGTCGAA